GGTTCGAACCGGTAGTGACCCCCCCCGGTTTTCCGCCAGCAGCGGTAGAACACGCTCTTTCATATCATCAGTACTACTACTATAATTATTAGTATTACTAGTCTTATTGTTCGCATTATCCTTATTATGTGTCGCATTCTCATTATTCATCTTTTTATTCAAATTATTCTGACTAGCATTCGTACTGCTACTATTAATGGTAGTATGAGTAGTGTTACGATTACTATTAGTATTAGTATTGGTATTGTTATTATTCGCCATACTATTATTAGGATGTTTATTATAATTATGTTTCGCCATATGTGTATTATTCCTTATTCGTATTATTATTAGTAGTAGTCTTACTCTGATTCTTATACGAGTATTCGGATTATTGTCATTGTCAGCATTCGCATTATTACTATGGTGCATGACATCATTGTTATTAATCGTATTATTATTATTACAAGTAGTAGTAGTAGTAGTAGTAGTAGTAGTAGTAGTAGTAGTAGTAGTAGTAGTGGTACTAGTAGTAGTAGTAGTAGTAGTAGTAGTAGTAGTAGTAGTAGTAGTAGTAGTAATAGTAGTAGTGGTAGTAGTAGTATTCCTCCTCCTGGCATGGCGCCTTGTGGTTGTTTTCGGGTCACAACTCGGGCCACCAGCGGCGGTTTTGGACGATCCAGGCACCTCCAGGACGCAGTCGACGAGGCGCAGAGTATCCCGAGGCGGGAGAACAGCTGGGAACCTACGACAACTGGCGGAAGCCGTACGTGGTGATCCCTTGCCTCACGACGAACGCCGTCAGGCCTCCCCATCGATCCTCACCTCTTTCTCAGACTCCGTCCTTCGTCCAACCCGCATTCATCCGATTCCCGCCAAAATGGGTGGTCGCCCGCAAAGACGTCCCGCACCCCAGAAGCGGCCACCGTGGCGGCCCCGAGGGCAACGGCGGCCCCGAACCAAAAGCCCACCCGGATGAGCGTGGCCGGGTCGAGGGTCACGCCGGGGCCGCCAGACAGAAACCACCAGCCTCGAGGAGGAAAGGGCTGCACCAGCAACAACCTTCGGAGCTCAGCGCGGATTTTTAGGATTGGCGCTGGCCCCCCCTTCCCTGGCGCGCGGCGCGTGCGAGGGGCGGCGCCGGAGGCGCCGCCACCAAGGGAGGTTTTGCGCCGATCCAAGAAATCCGCGCGGAGCTCCGAAAGTTAATATTTTTGGCTGGCGTTGGGAAGACGACGTGCCACATCGATCGCCCAAAAAGCACGCTACGGCAGGTTCGCGTCGCGTCGACCCCGGCGTTGGTTCCTGACATCGCGGTGATCGTTCAAAATTGAACGACCGGCCCTTTCAGATGGGCCCGATCGTTCAAGGATGGGCCGACTCTGGGCCGCAGGCGGCGTTCAATCTTAAGCGCCCGCGCTGGGGTTGCAGCCGGCCGACACGACGCGAACCTGCCGCGCCCCTGCGAGGCAATCCCCCCGCGGAGGCCCCTTCTGTGCGCGAGATCCCTCCGCCATGGACAGAACCCCCTTTAGCAGAACGCGATTTAGTGAAAACGACCTCGGGCCCAAACCTGGCGGGCGCAAGACTGGAAACTGATGGCCGCGGCGCCCTCTCGAGAGCCGAAGACGGACAATTCACGAATCGACGTGTCGGGGTGGGAGTTCTGTCCACCCCCGAAGAGCGGGGGATAGCGCGCCACAGGCGGGCCGGCGGGCCGGGGCTCGGGATCCGTGGGCAGCAGGAGCCCTGTGTCGACCGCGGCGCCGCCCACGAGTGGGGGGGAGCGAGCGCCCGCTTCTGGACCCAGCACTGACAGCGCAGGCCTTCCAGGTCACCCAAAGTGTTTGGGGCAGGCTGCCAGACCAATCCAACCCAACCCGAAGACCCAAGTTTCGGGTTGGGGGGTACGGGTTCCTCATGTGTTTTTCTACGTTCCCCGCCCCCCCACACACACATACACATACACACATACACACACACACAGACACTGGAAATCGAGGGTAAACTTGGGCAATCGGGTGGGGTTAGAATGGTTTGGTGGGTGGTGAGTTCGGGGCAATCGAGTTTATCCAGATCCACTGGCGGGATCAATGTTTTGGGGAATCAGTGTGGTGGTGGGGGGGAGCGAGCGGGCCGGCATCGCCACGTCGCACGCCGCCTTTCCAAGGCACGGCGTTTGTTTCTCGACGGCCTCTGCGCCCCTGGGCCGGCTCAGACCTCGTGTTCAGGCCGACCGTGTTCTCGCCGTCGGACTCGGAATCGGAGCTCGTGCTCGAGCTCGAGCTCGTACTCTCCTCGTCGCCGAGGATGTCGGTGCTCCAGTCGGCCTCCTCGAAGTCCACCGCGGGGGCGGAGGGCGAGCGCGCGGTCATTGGACCTCCAGCAGGGGGGAGGAACGGAAAGGGGGGGGGGCGCGGGGAGGAGGAGGAGAAGGAGGAGGGAGGAGGAGGAGGAGGAGGAGGAGGAGAAGGAGAGGCAGGAGCAGCAGGAGCAGGAGGAGGAGGAGGAGGAGGAGGTGGAAAGGAGGAAGAGGGGGGGAACGAGGAAAAGAGGAGGAGGGGAGGGACAAGGAGGAGGAGGGAGAAGAGGAGGAGGGAGGAGGAGGAGAAAGGAAAAGGAGGAGGGTGGAGGAGGAGGAGGAGGAGGAGGAAGGAAAGGGAGAAGGAAGGGGAGGAGGGGGAGGAGGAGGAGGAGGAGGAGGAGGAGGAGGAGGAGGAGGAGGAGGACGAGGAGGACGAGGAGGACGAGAAGGACGAGGAGGAGGAACAACGGCAACAGTTTTTTTTGCGGAGCGTTTGACCGTGTGCCCACTACGCGGTTTTCGCTTGACCTCCCCCGCGCCCTTTCCGCGCTTCCCAGCACGGTCCACCCAGTCCACCCCTGCCTCCCCAACAGATGTTCGACGCTTGCCACCCTCATCCTGATGCTCAACCCCGCAAGAGAGAGAGAGAGAGAGAGAGAAAAAAAAAAAAAAAAAAAAAATGACGACGCACCCCCGCGGCCATCCGGCTGTTTTGCGGGAGCGGAATGGTCCGCCGGTGCGAACGCTGGACGCGCCGACTCTCCTGCACGCCGTGCGAAGCCAGTTTCTGTACACCACCACCGCCTGTTAATAGCTACAACCCTTTGTCATAGCTAGGGTTGCGCCAAACGACGCCACGCCTCCGTGGCGAACAGGAATGCAGATGCGGCGCATGGGCGCCATGTGAAAACCGCACACCTCTGGCGGCGTAGAAAAGTCGTGCCCCCTTGAACCCAAAGCTACTCCAGATAGCATAATAATCGCCCCCCGTTGGATTCGAGGGGGCATGAGAGCGCGCCGTCCGGGCGGGATTGGGGGGATATGGCAGTTTTGAAGCTCGAGTTCCTCGGCCGAGAAGGGGGTGGATGGGGGGGGGGTTGTGCGCACGTTGAGGGGCGGTGGCGGGGGGAATGGAGACGCTCCGTCGGAAGGTTAAATCGCCCCTCCCTCCGATTATCGCACCATACGGAGTATACACACCGCCATCGCGATTGCTTTGACGGGCCCCGCCCCGGCCCTTGAGCGCGAGGGTGGGCCCGGCCTGGGGCAACCAGCAAGCACCGACGCCGCGACTCCCCAGACCTCTCCCAGAGCGCGCCCCGGCCAGGATTTCGAGGCGAATCCGGCGTGGCGACGAAGGCCTCCCAGAAGACCCAAATGGGGGAAAAAGGGCGCGGAAGGGTAGCAGAACGGGTGTACTTTTTCCTCCTCCGACGACAGTCGTCGCTGGCGACAGGGCCGCGACCGCTGTTGCCCACAAGAGCCGAACTGTGCCCAAGCGCATCACGCGGCTTTAGAGGCCTCCTAGATGAGGTCGGGGTAGATGGGGCCAGAGGATCGCGCCGCATCGCCGATACATCGGCGAGATACATCGGCGATGCATCGGCGATGCATCCGCGATGCACCGGCGATGCATAGTCGACGTCGGCGATGCACCGGCGACGTCGACGCGAAGCGAACCTGGCTGCACGTCCGGTCGCATCGGCGACGCGGCGCGATCCTCCGACCCAGTCTATTTTGTGTGTTCCACGTGCCGCGCGATTGTTCCGCGCAAAGGCATCGAGGAAGCTTGTGCAACGGAGTGCACGCAGCCTGCTGAGTATCTTCAAGCGGTGCACGACGTTGATCAGATACGGGCGGCGGGTTGCGGTACTCGGGCCGGGGGGAAGGAGCTGCGTGAGTCGCATTCCCTGCAACTTTGGACGCGGCACTCGCTTGTTTTCTGTGCCCGATGCGGTTTCACGGCCACGGTCGATCCGAGGCGCCCTGTGAACCCTTGCACCGCGCCGACGCGCAAGGGAAAGGAGAACCTTGCGCACATTGCGAAGAGGTTATATCCTGGATACGGTGGTCCTGCCGCGGTGACGGTCGAAGCGTCTGTGTCGCGGGACCGCCGAGCTTTCGCCAGTTCTCAGATGCAGCCTGGCGTTTCAGAGTCCAGCTCCTCCGCTCCCCCGCACGCGCGGAGCGAGGCTACCCCGAGGCCTCGAGCTGGCTCGTCGGGAAGCTCGGACTAGACCGCGGGCGAGGCAACGATCCTCGGGAGCGGCTCGGATTTTGATGCTGTGACCGAACCTCGAAGAGGCCATCCTGGTAACTGCCGCCCTGGTCGCTCGTCGTGCGGCGCCCTGGGGCATTTCAGCACGGGGTCCTGTTGAAAAATCCTCCTCCCTCCCTCCTGCCTCCTCCTCCCCCTCCGCTTCCCCCCGCCCCCATCCTCCCTCCTCCCCCCCCTCCTCCCTCCCCCCTCCTCTCTCCTCCCTCCTTTCCTCCTCCCTCCCCCTCCGTTTCCCCCTCCCCCCCGCTCCCCCCCCTCCCCTCTCCTCCCCCCCCGCTCCTTCCTCCTCCCTCCCTCCTTTCCCCCCTCCCGCCCCGGCGGCCGCGAGCCAGGCCGGCGGCGCGCGCGGCCTCTCCGTCAGCGGGCGCGAGCGAGGCTGGCCGGGCGCGTGGCCCCCGGGCACGGCACATGACCACCGCCATCGGAGAGAAATTTTCCAGACCTCCTGGTCAGCTCAAGCCTCGGCCAATGACAGAGCAAGCGGCTCGCTAGCTTGCCAACAGCCTTGGAAACCCTAATGCAGAACTGCAGCGCAGAAATCTCTTCCTCTGAAGGCTGGGGGTGGAGGTGGGCACCAGTTTTAGCCGCCGCATCTGCCGCATCGTTTCCGAGCCTACGCCGACGTTCTTGCTCCGAGATTCCACTTTCGCGTGGACTCAGATGCGCCTTGACCTTGCATGCAGACGAGATGAGCTTTCTTCGTTGCTGAAACAAAACCATCGAGCCTGCATAAGGGCGCTTATGAGACAATTGAAGCTCTCTTGGGACCGGGGCTAGGTCCACAAAAGTTTTGCAATCACTATGCACTACAGAATGCCCCGTGACTTCCGCGCCCGCTCTCGCCAGGGCAGCGAACTCCCCACGCTGTGGCCTCTGCGGGAACGGCGCGACGATGGGCGCGTAAATCGTACATTGCACAGGGCCGTCGCCTCCTACTAAACAAAGACCGTACCCAGCCCTAGAGAGCTCCGACATGGGATGCCGAAAGCAACAGGAGGGGGGCTGTGCCCGACCACCTGGGTAGCTGAGCCATGGGCACCCCCCATAGGCCTCGGAAACACATCCCCACGATGCCCCCCCCCCCGAAAAAAAACGCGGCAAAACAACCTCTTCGCAAGGGGGTCAATCGGATCCCCTGCCAAAGAAGCCTCGAAAATATCATGATCGATCAGTTCCTCTCTGAGTGCTGAATGATTCGTGCACTCCCACAGTCTTCGATAGACCGCGTCTACAGCACTGCCGCACTCCTCGCACAGATCAGTTGAGCCCATAGCCAGCCAAAACAGCACGGCTCTTCGTCCAAAGAGTATCACAACACAGACTGCGCATCCTCCCTTTATCAATCGCCGAATATCTCGTCGATTGGATTTGTTCCCTGATATCGAAACGCAATCGATCGCACGGGAGGCTAAGTCTGGCGCTAGAATCTCGCACGAGTTGGCGGACAACCGCCTCTCGGAGCAAGGTCTTGAGCATCGCGGGGGCCACCGTGGCAAGCTGGGCGGGGCCTCCGGAGTCCGGGGCGATGGTGAGGAAGTCCGACATAGACCAGCCGAACCTAGCCAGCCGAGGCCAACCACGTGGGGCCCTTTTGCACAAGAAGGGCGGAGGTGAGGGATCGCCCCCCCGCCGCAGGGCAAAGCACCCTACCCGCCGCCCTCCGAACGCGAGAAAGCTCGAAGTCCGAGATTCCATGAATCTCGGCCCCATACAGAATGCCAGGCAGCGCGCCCGAGACCCTGATCCTTTGACAAAAACGCCTGAGCTGACTGGAGAGCCTGACCAACTTGCGGGTGGTGGCTTCGAGGTGGTGCATTCGGATCCTGAACTTATTGCTTCGTGTCCCCGTTCTCCTGGGCCTGCCGCTAAGGTCGTCGATACCGAGGTTGACGGTGCTGTCGGTCGGCTCTCCCGCCAGCGGGCCGAGGTACTGTCGCAGCTCATCTCTCACTTCTCGGCTGGAGGTGACGAAGGCAGCCTTGTCCTGCGAGATGTTACATTCCATCTCATTCACAATGGCTGTGTGCAGCGCATTCGAAACACTCTCGATGCTGGTCGCAACGTGCAGCGCCGTGCCCGTGGACGAAACTCCGCTGCCATCGATGCACTGGTCGGGAAAGACATTGGCGCGCGCGGCCTCATCAGTAAGATGACATGCACAATCTGCAGCTGCAGCGGCAGGCGCGAGATGGATTCCATGCTCTGGATCATATACGAGACGATCTGAAGGCTGCCATCGGTCATCCATGAGCAGTGGCGCACGTGGAATCCGCCCAACACACATGCCGTCCGAGTGGAGTATCCCCTTGAGACTTCGCGTGTGAAATCAACGCCGAGGGCGGGGGGGACTCCTGCATGGTTTCGGCCCCTCGGTCGAACGCCTGGGACTCGGCCCCCCAGATCCCCGAAAAGAAGGCAGCTTGCCCCTGCAGGAGGGCCAAGGGGTCCGAAACGACATGTCCCGCGGGCGAAAGGGCGGTGGTCGGTTTCCAGCCCGCGGCGGGCTTCCTGGCGAGATGGGCGCCCCTTCCCCCTTTTCTCACTGTTTCTCAGGAGCCATTCCTTCCACGACTGTCGGGCCGAGGCCCGGGCGAAGGCCTGCTCGGCCTGTGCAGCCTGCGACGGGTCTTCGAGCAGCTCGGAGCCCTCGCTCTCGGCCGCTTCGACTTCCCTCATGGCGCGAGGATCGGCGTAGGGCTCTCCCGCCACTGACGCCTCGCCGCCTGTCTGGTCGGCGTTCGTTCTGGCGCTCGATTTCGAGTTCGGACGCGGCAAAAAATGGGGGGCTCTGACATCGCTGCCAAAGCTCAGCGTGAGTCGCCAGCGCACTAGCAAGATCCCCAGGCGGTTGTCTGAGGAGGGCTGCGCGCTGACTGCTCTCTCTCTCTCGAGAGACAATCTTGGTACTCCTCCATTGCCTGTGCGCGTTGCTCAGCCGTTTTATCCCAAAGAGGGGGGGCGGGTAATCGCGTCCTATTTCCCCTGGAAAACGGGCGCCCACTTCTTTCGAAAAGGATTTGCTCTGAAAAACGTAACGGGGGAGTCTAATGTGAGCCACCTCCGCCACCTCAAACTCAGCCCTCTTGCACCACATGCGGTAAAGCTGGGCGAGCTCGCCCTGGGAACCTTCGGCGGGGCCCCCTGGGGTGAGTCTCGACACAACATCTCTTCCGAAAGCCTCCACACGCTTCCAGGATGGTGGGGCCCGAGGAGGCCCCATCGGCCGCTCGGCAGGGATAGGAGGAGGCCCATCAAAAACCAGGGCCTGCAACTCCGCCGCTCGCTCGCGCAAGCATGAACGCACAGGAAGGTGAGGGGTGGCACCAGATTCACGAACCACTTGAACTTCCTTGACCGCCTTGGCGGGCCCCTTGGACGCAACGAAGAAATCAAGGGTCTTCATCCCTCCTGTTGTCAGGCAGGTGCCGTCGCACCGCGCGAAAATGAGCAGCCCTGACATGCGTTCAACGAAGCCGCTGTCCATGATCATCTCAGGACGCATAGTGAAATCACCGGCGACGGGCATTTCGGACGAGCGGATCCCTTGGAGACTGCCGGTAGCGCTCAGGATATCCAGATTTCGACTCGAAAGGCCCTCGGAGCAATACAGGCACGCCGAGACCAGGATAACGCGAAGATCCGAATTTCCTGGGAGATGAACGACTCCAGCAACCACTCGTGATGGGACGACTTCCGATATATACTTAGAGAACTGATGTAGGCCTAGGTAACTACGAGCTAAGATCGCCACTCCGCCCGAGCTGCCCACGCCGACACCTGGGCGCGCAGGGGAGAAGATCCCCTTTCCAACCATTACGCTGACACCAAGTCAGCGCACGGTTGCACGCTTCTTGACTAAAAAGACGGTGCTTCTGAACGGCCCCGACGCGGGCCTGGGTCCCGTTTCAGCCATTCCTGACAAGATCCCCAAGACGTGGCGTTCACGGCTTCAAAACTTGTACCAAAACTATCCTTGGACGGAGCTGGGGGCGCCGTGAGAAATCCCAAATCGGAGCCCATGCCAACCCGAGAGGAGACCGCCTGGCCCCTTATATCAAAACCTCGGCCCACCGTGGGCCCGTCCAAAGTAACTCTGCTAATATTAGCAAAATGCATGCGGCTCACCGCCCAGGTGTCTGCGCGGGGAGGGACTCGCCCCTGACGGGGGCACGCACGCTGCCGAGCCGCCTTCTGCCGCCTGACCTGCGGCTGCTGGGGCTGCGGCGCCGTCAGCGGCTCATGCTGCGACGCCAGCCGCCTGCGAGCATGGGGCATCAGGTTCAGCTGCTGCTGCTGCATGTCCGTCAACTGTTCTGCGATTCTTCGCCATCCTCGCAAGGTGTTGACGGTGTTGGTCTCGAGCCTGTTGGAACTTACTCGCAGCCTCGCCCAGCAGCTTCTTGGCCATCTCCTGGAAGCTACTCTGCAGCAACTTGTTCCTGTCCTCCAACTGGCTCTGGTCCTCGGCTGTAAGGTCGTACTCACCCAAGCCCGTGAATAGGTCATCGTGGAAGTCCAGATCCAGGCCCTTGCCCTCGACGAGAGCCTTGCGACTGATCGCAAGGGCCTTGGGTTCAACTGGGTCACGCACAGCAGCCCCTTCCACTCGGACCACTGGCAGGTGCCCGAGGATGGCTCGCTCTGCCGTCAAAGGACAAGCTCCTCCTCGACGGGCTGTCGGTCGAGGAGCTGGAGACCCCGCACAGCATGGAGGTCAAGCAAGGGCAGCGAGAGCTGGCATCCTACGCAACTGCGAAGACTGCACTGGTGGCCAGCCAGCAGCCCAAACCTGAGGCGAGTCTGCACACCAGGGCCTCGCAGGCCCAGTCTAAGATACGGCAGCTCGATAAGAAGCTCACACGCGAGTTGGACAGGGAGGGAGGAGGGAGGGAGGAGGGAGGAAGGAGGAGGGAGGAGGGAGGAAGGGTTAGCTAGGTGCGCTCGCATCATATCTGACATCCTACCCCATCCCTCCCATCTCTTACCACGGCGTAGATCCCCTCTCTACTCGCACAGTCGGATGTCGAGCAGGGCAATGATCCCGAAAGGGTATGCGATGCATTGTAGAGCACGGCATGGCATGGCGTAGAAGATCACCGCAAAGCGTAGTATGTCACAGCATGGCGTTGCGTGGCGTAGTGAAGAATTGCATCACAAAACTTTGCAACGCAAAGCATGGAGCCCCGAACATAACATTGCATAGCATGGCGTTGAAGATCAAAGCGTAGCATGGCATAGCACGGCGTGGCACTTAAGCACTGCATATCACAGCTTCAGCTGAAGGCATGGCATCGCGCAGCGGAACGCAACCTAGCATTGCATTGCATGCCGTGGCATGGCACGGGAAATGACGCCAGCGATGCAGCGGGAGCACGATTCGGAACGAGCGGAAGCGCGGAATTGAGGCCAGCGCTGCAGCGGGAGCACGATTCGGAACG